AAAAAAAAAGAAAAAAAGAATATAACAAAAATATGATGGGCAAAGAGATATATATGGTACTTACGTATTAACGCCATCGCAGCAAAATTCCGCTTAATGCGCCAATTTAAATTGTTGCGACAAATCATAGAGGAAAAAAAAAGAAGCTTTATTTTAAAATCTAAACAGATTTAAAATTGAAAAGATTTTATTTATAAAAAGTAGTCACAATCGGATTTCGGTGGAAAATGGGCCGATATAGAATTTACCATAGATTCAAAACAGTCTCTATTTTTCTTTCACCTGATGCTGTCGCCATAACCCTGCCGAAACCCTGAAATGATGTCTCGCATCTTGTTTTGTTTTTGGCAAATCCCAAATACGCATTTTCGTAGCATTAAAAAAATGACGCAACCCTGACGCAACCCTGACGCAACCCTGACGAAACCCTGACGGTTGCTATGTGCAAACAACATGGTTATTGTGTGCGAACAACAAGATTGCTCTTTATTGGCGCATTAGCGAAATGTTTGCTGCGGTGGCGTTAATGTGCGTCTTGTGTTTGTCGTGTTCGACAAAGTAGATGAGATAAAAATAGATTAGGGTGTGATTATAGTATAAAACAAAAATTAAATTAAAAAAGAAAAAAAAGTGGAAGAATTACATTTTGCAAATGAATCAAAATAATTCAAGTTGAATTTGTTGTTTAAATAGGAAAAGATGGAAAAGTTTTGATAGAGGGTAAAATATTGAGAAAAATGAAGAATAAAGATAAAAAGATAAAAAGAGAAAGATAGAAAGAGAGGAGGAGGTAACAAGTCAGGGCAGCAGAGTACTTCGGCCTTTAGGTGAATGGCTAGTAACCTTGAACAGAGAGTCTGGAATGCATCGACCGGTGCAACTTCTTAAGTAGGCTGCCTTAAGACTCTCTTCTCTTTCTCTCTTTCTCTCTTTCTCTCTTTCTCTCTTTCTCTCTTTCTTGGTTGAGAGAGGATGTTGGTATCAAAATGAAACACATTGAAAATGGATTCCTCCTGGTACTATATATCTACAATATTACAATTATTTTATATAAACTAATTCACATTATTAATGTTGTGTTGTCATTATCAATGGTGATTGTGGTGGTTGGTGGTAGGGTTGATGATTTAATCAGGTTGCTATTACACGAATTTAATTTGGGAAATGTCAATCATTCTTTTCTTATCTTTTTATAAAATTAATTAATTTCACAACAACATTAATTTACTAGAATAGTGAAATACTTTGAAAATAATTTAATAAAAATTGGATGTAACTCATACACCCCCCCCCCCTAAAACTTACACTCAACCCAAATCAAATTTCAATAAATAATAATAATAATATATATTTCTTTATTTATAATTTACATAGACATATTTATAATTGATAATATAACAAATAAACAAAACATAAATAGACATTAGAAATTTATTTATATAGTTGAAGACGCGCCGTCTGGTGCTACAAGCAACCCTTTCGAAAATGGTCGACGTGCTCGATGCTAGCAGGTCGTGCTAAAAATATCACCAACTGGCATTGGAATTAACCTGTGAATCTACACACATACACATACACATAAACACGTATTTTATTTCATATGAATCTACATAATATTAAATAAAATATGAATGGAGGAAATATGAGTATATATATATATATATATATATATATATTATTTTTTTACTTCTTACATTATTAATGAAGATAATTAATTATAATAATAATCATCTTGATATGTGAAATATGATCGTATGATAAAACACACACACACACACATACATACATATACAAACTAATTTATTTGTGAATTTGAACAAAGTATAAAATGGGTCTTATTTTTTCTAATACCATGTAATATTTGTATATTATCTATTATCTAATAGAAATGTCTTTTTGTTTGTTTCTTTTGATTAAACAGTGTGCCAAAGTATAGACATAAGAAACAGCGTGAATCAATTCTCAAGACTGCAAGGATGTCGAGTAGTCGAAGGATTCGTCCAAATTCTCCTAATCGATCATGCCGACGATTCGGCCTTTGCGAATCTCACCTTTCCAGATTTGGTTGAAATAACGGAATACCTCATTTTATACAGGTAAGCTGTGATCAATAATTATCTCTCGAAATGTGAATAAAATAACCACCCTCTCTCCTTCCTCTTCCTCCTCTCCCATTTCCTCTCCCCTTCACATAAACGAACGCATGAAAGCATTTAATTCTGTTTACGTAATTATATTTAATATCAAACGACGAAAATTCTTTTAAATCAAAGTATTATTATTATTATTATTATTATTATTTTTTTAAATGTCTGTCTGTGTGTTTATTTCTTTATTTTGTTAAATGCAAATTTTATATAAAATTTAACAATAATTTTATTTCATATTGGGATCTTTAGCGCAATTGAATACGCTATCTGGTGGCTAAATTCAAAATTACAGTACATAGGTCGAATTGCTATGCCACGCCCCTGCCAGATCCCAATTTAATCGTAAATCGTAATCGTTTTTGATTTTTTTTTTTTAATTACAAATAAGTTGAATGAGACAAAAAAAAAAGGATAAAAGTTGGAATATAATAATTTTTCTCTCTCCCTTTTTTTTTCTTTTTTAATAAAACTTTTAGTACGTGTATTAAAGTGATCTTCGTGGCCCCCTTTGCCCCACCCCATGTGTCGGTTAGAGAAGTATGCAACGATCGAGAAGTTATAAAAGGTCGAGTAGAACGGAGTAGACGTTTCACTCGGTTGCAACCCCTTTCTCAGGTCACTAAACTCGTTCTCAGGCACGCGGCTTGTTATTATCGCGGCTTCTGCCTCCTTTTTATCCCCCCCTTCTCTCTCCTTCCCTTCCCTTCCCTTCCCCCTGTCTTCCTTCCCTTTTTTCTCTTCCTTTTTTTTCCCCCCTTGTATTTTTTTTTACGATCTCACGAAACGAGGTAGAATGGAGTCGTTGCACGAATCTTACCAGCTTTTCATTGACACGTTTGTAAAACAAAACAAAAAATACTATTAAAAATACTCCATCTTTTTTATTTTTTTATTTTTTTTTTAAATACTCACACACGTACTTTTAGGTTATATACACACACACAGAGAGATACTTTCAGGTAGATATTATTTGATGAGAAAATATACATATGTGCTTTTAAACGTTGGCTTCTTAATTTGACAATTAGATATAATTTTTGTCTTATTTATTTATTTATTTATTTATATTAATAAAAAGTGTTGATTTTTTTTTTTTTTTTTTTTTAAATTTTTATTTTTCAGAGTAAACGGATTACGAAGCGTCGGCCGTCTATTTCCAAACTTAACATTGATTCGTGGTCATTCTTTATTTATTAATTATG